AGATACAAATTCTTGGAGCATGTTTATGCCACGCAAGTTCCACTTAGAAAGGAAAGTGTGCTTCCAAGCCAACAGTACACCTCTGAAGAAAAATGCTGTGTTTCTGTGCACATTTTGACTACAAGGTGAAGATATCCACTTGCAATGCTGACATGCAATGGTCTGCCTGTGTGCCTTGTCATCTTATATTTTAAATCCCAAAGCACACACACAAATATATGCTAAGTTAAGGTATCACATGAAGTGTTTAACACCAGAGCAATTACCTGAGGAAATACAGAAACAGGATTTTTCTGTAAAATACAGTTTGGTCTGCAGTAAATGCATTTCTTATGTACTGGTTAAAATATAAAGTTATCAAAGAGTCATAGTGTAGATGTACAAATTGGTTGGCTTTCTCCTATTGCATTTACAGCTCAGTTTCAAATAACTGCAAATAGGCTAACAATGTTAATAAGTCTGCCATCCACTGGAAAAGAAATAAGACAGTGAATTTCCCAAAGATTATTTATATTGTTATGAAAACAATAGGAGCCAGATAAACTTTCCAAAAGCTCAAATCCAATTGAAGAAAAAAATAGCACCATCATAGTTTGAAGCCGGATATTTAAAATTACTGTATTACTCCCAGAACATAAGAGATTGTGTCCAGAGCATTGCACAACCACGAAGAAATAAATATTTCCAGGTTCAATGGTATCATTATGAGAAATACCAGACATACCAATGGCACACAAGAAACATTTCTGATAGGCTGCAAGTTTCCACGTTTCACATTGAAGAGTTCTTGCCAGATCACCATTAAAATATTGCTGACAGGTAGTTCTTGCACACAGAAACAACTCCCATATGTCATTCTTAAAAATCCCAAGAGAAGGGAGAAGGAAGAAGATCCCATTTGAATGTAAACTTAAAACTACCTACATTATCTTTCTCCAAACTGCAGTTAGTCGATGCTACATTTACCATTTAAAAAGTATGCCTAACAGAAGCATGTTTCAAACCTATTGCACAAAAAGCATAACGTAATGCTCTCTTTATCCATACAAAAACATACCATTTTTTTTAAAAAAAATAAGAATAAATGGGGCCAAACTAAAATTACACTAAATGTGGCTACCAAGAAAGGCCAGTCACGGCTCTATGTTTCTGTTTGCTACTTTGGAACGTCTCATTAAACTTACCCGGGACTTAAGCTACAGAGCTGTGAGCTTTCCTCCTCTATGTAACGGGAAAGAAATACAGAATGTAAAGATACCACGTCATCAGTAAGTCACGCCAGACATTACAATAGGTGGAAAACAGGCAGACAGGTGCCATTTTTGGTAGGAGATCCTCGTTTAGTGCAAAATCTAATTTGGCCCCTCACAAAAGGAAGGAAGAAGCTTGTAAAAAACATCTCACAATTTCATTTTATATGCCCATAAATAAAGCTGGACCATTGAAACCAAAAAAGTAATAATAATTAAAAAAAAAATACTTAGATGGTAAAAAGTAAGAGAGAAGGCTTAAAATAGAATAAATAATTTTATAAAGTTAACTTTTCAACCCCCCCATCTTATTTAAAATTCAATATTATATATTCTGATTTCTCTATCTTAAAAAGAAAATTATACCAAGCGAGACCATCAGCCTGCCTCATTCTGTCTGTCTTTTTGTTGCTAAGGATTATGCAACAAGACCATTTGACTGCATTCATTTACCAGTGGTAAGCAGTTAATTAAAACAAAGAACAGAAATTACTTCACAGTTAATTTATATATCACTTAATCTAGACCAATGTTTCTCAACCTTGGTGACTTTAAGATGTGTGGACTTCAACTCCCAGAGTTCCACAGCTAGCCATGCTGGCTGGAATTCTGGGAGTTGAAGTCCACTCATCTTAAAGTGGCCAAGGTTGACGAACACTGCTCTAGACAAACTTAATGTGGCTGGAGCACCTCCAAGCCACTTAACGCTAGAAGTGAAGACCTAAAGCCAGAAGGTCAAGAGAATGTTTCCCACCCAAATCATTGTGCAACCTGCCCCTTAAAAGCTTCACAGAAGAGAGACAGCCGATATAACAAGAATCAGTTCTACTAATATTAACCATAGTTTTTCTGATAAAACAAGCCAGTTAGGTCTTTGAAACAAATAATTCCCAAGGGACGTGGTTTCCATAGGAGAAGAAATATTCTGAGAAACTGTTCAGAAAATTTTTTTTTTTAAAAAAAACCAAAGTATTTTCTGCCACCATTGTTGTTAGGCTGTTAGAAAACAGAAATAAACACTCATTTATGAGTAATAAAACCAGCCTGGGTGTTAACTGCTGGCTTTTGTTTCATGCACCTGATTACGTATATAGTAATATAGCACCGTATCAAATTCAAGTGATTCAAAAACTTGCTAGAAACTTAGCAGTGCAGGTTCTGTAAACTGCTGCAGTCAAGAGTTGTGGGGTTGTAGTTTGCATCTTAATACTATTTAATCCCTCAGTTTAAATTACGCATGGGGGTTGTATTCTGCATTTTGAGATGGTATTGGTGGAACAATTAAGCTGTATATCCAGTCTGAGGTAGAGTTAATAGTTGCACAAGATCATTATACCCTCCAAAGATTTAACACAGTTCTCCCCAACCTGGTGTTCTCTAGATGTGTTGAAATATAACTCCCATCAAGCCCGCTGGCTAAGTCTAGAGAGCAAAAGTTTGGGAAAGCCTGTTTTAACTGAATCAAGCGGGTACTCAACAGGGTGGCTAACTTTAAGGATCACTAAGCACTGTTAGCCAGTATGTTTTCAGATAGCACCAGGTGGCCTGTAACAGGGGAAGATGGGGAATTTTTTAAGGCTGTACTATTTATGGCAGCCTGGCACATTTTCATACAGCCCTCCCATTCTACAAAGGTATATTCTTCCATTCACTAACAATTTTATTTATATCTCAGAAGATACTTTTTCAGAATAATGGCAAGAAATAATTTATCATTAGTAAGCACTTGCTTATTATACAAATTCTATATTTAAGAACTATACCTTTTAAGCGCACTTACTAGTAGAAAATCTCTTGCAACACCCCCTATTAAATGAGGGCAAACGTTACAAGAGGTGCTAGTGCACTCATGTTCATGTCATATGGAGAGTGGAAAATTGCTTTTAAGGTGTGTGATGTACTTTTTTCAACTCTAGCTCATCGCAACGAGACATGCGCAGAACACTCTCTACCGAAAGGTTGCCCAATGTTTTTCATTTGTCCTCCATTGCCACTTCCACTGCTAATTAAAACCTTGTACATTTATCCAACTTGCTCCCATTTTTTCTTTGTTCCTCTGACTCCTTTGATTTCCATCTATTCATATCTATCATTATAAAATTAGAGAAGGAAGTTTATGTAAGTAAGTTTGGAGAGATGGGTTCCTAATGGACCCATGTGCTGCTGACAAGAGAAGCCACAGGAAGAGAAGCTAGTTGGTATT